CAGATTATTCATCAGTTGTGACCTGGGCTGAATTCTAATAGGTATCACAGGTTAGATGCTCCATATGCTAGAAGCAATGCCTCGAGCTAGAACGCCTTACAATTTGCTTATTTTTCCTCTTGTCAAAAGACAGAAAAACTCTAAATGTTGTCCAAAAGAAAGGGTTTAAAACTACTGCTATGTGAAACATCCATGTATTTCATTTGTAAGCATTCTAGATTTGCAAAACTGCTGAATAGATGTTTTGTGCACTAGCAGCGATTAAGAACATAGCTACGTCAATGGCATTTTGTGTTTTGTTTTTTTCTGGTCCGGATGCCAATGAACAGCATGCATCTTCCTTGCAACAAGCTGTTGCAAGATTTTTGCCTCCGGAGAAGCCAAGGGACAAATATTGATAGATGTGTTAAAATAATCTTTCTAGACAGGGGGATCATATCCATTTTACAAGGATACAACCTCCTTTCTTGTTTTGCAATTATTTTAGGTTATCTGTAAAACTTTAACAAAAAATATAGTCTTACAAGTTCCCTTTCATAGGGTAGTTTTCTCAAATAAGGTTTGAAAAGAGTCCATGCTGTACAACATACCAGTAGTGGCAGTCAATGGAGTAAGCATGTGGACTAGCTCAATCCCAAGCAAAAGATTTTTCCAAATTCTTGTTTAAAACAAGACCTGTCCGATCAGCTTGTCTTACTGCAGCCACTTCTGGAAACAGTTCAACTCTCAGGCTTCGCCTTTTATAAGGCATGAAAGAAAGCATAACTCCTATTCAGATTTTTGCATTAAAATGTCCTTTTGGACTATGATAGACTACTCCCAATTTTTTTCTTCTCAGCATTTTAGTCACTCTGGTCTAGCCACACATAGACTAACATGCACAGCAAGCCAAGATTTCCTGTTACAGCTCTCTCTGGGCATCCCATTCCCCTCTTGCTCCTTTTTTGCCTGGAGTGCTAGCTATAATTCTGCTGGGTCCTGGATTTCAAGCTAGCTAGCTGATCAATACAGGAGGGGAAGACCTCTGGGTTTGCAGAGAGTAGAGGTGATCACTGAATGGAACACATCCATTGACTCATATAATTATCAGAATTAAAAATTTTGGGTCTTTTTAATCAGAGGATGCTGCTGACAACTGCTTAGCATAAATTAAGATGACTGGAATGACATTCCTAAGTGAGAGTATCCACACATGTATTTCTTCCTGAAAACTGTAACTCCAGTTGTATCCAAGCTCCTTGGTGAAAGAAGACATGAATACAATTGTAATAAAAACAACAACACAGTTGATGCTTAACAGAGTGAAAATAAGCTTGCTTGTTCAGAAAGTAAATGTAATGTATTAAAAGTGCAAGTCAAGATACTGATCTATGTGAAAAAAAAAAGTTTTATGTATTTCTGAAGATGGCACTTGCTATTCATTATTAGTATAGCGTACCCTTCTCTACTTCACAGATAGAAATTGTTGCAGAGATTTAAAAACAATAGAATCTATTAACTCATACAAAATCTGCTTGTCCATCATGGGTTAAGGGATTCCTGGCCTATCAGCAATCTTCCACAGAACTCTTAATATTAAAAATTTTTGCTGCTTACACCGCAAGGGAGAAAGAGCTGACAAAAGCCTTTGGCCAGTGAGATCAAAATTGGGGGTAGGGGGGGAGAAAGGGGAGTTTAGCTTATTTACATTTTTGCTTTGTTAGTAAACTGGAATGGTTGGAGCAGGAGAGAAAGAAAAAAAAAAAGAGAGAGAAAAGTGGAATTAACAGCCACTAAATCTTCTGGCAACAGCAGTGCATTTTGATGATGTGCTGCGTCAGCTTCCACTAATGGTGTAGGGTTGAATCAGGCACAGTTCAAGACCCAAAGCAGTGCAGGGCATCACATCTCAGTCTTTGGAAGAACACGTACCCTAATTATGAAGATGGCTACAAAATAGAGAGATCAGGATTTCTGGCAAAGCAGAATAACGATCTACTTAACAGGAAATCGGAATGCCATTTTGAATCCCTAAAAATGATAAAAGAGTAGGATTTCAGTCCTGTAATGAATGTGCGTCTGAATGAGAAGCGTTACCATTTTGAGAGAAAACTATCTTTCTGAACAAAACCCGTCAAAGTTGCTTTTTCTGCTCCTAGGGGTTAATCTCCCTGGTCTATTCCAGTAACGCGCATGGAAACAAAGGCTGCATATGTGTGTGCCACTTACCACACAAAATATCCGTCCAGTATTTCAGCGAGCACAGGAAGGAAATGCCCACTGAGCTAGGGACGTGCCAATGTCAGTGCTGCCTGTGCCAGGCCATTCCCGTGAAATTCACGGCGTGCGGCAGAAAGCAATGCGGGGCGGCAGGCTTGCGGTGGGGTGGGGAGGGAGCTTAAACAGGCAGTGGAAGAGAATCAGCCATTTGGGAGGTTTAATAGGGGGCTGTTTGTTTGTCTGCCCTTTTGATGTTAAATTAGTCTTCCAATTTTGTCGCAAGGAAGGAGGCATTGGGAAAAGGATGCTTCTCTTCCAGTAAACCCTGGGAAAGCAACACCTTTATTTTAACGGCCTTCCCACCAAGAACCCCCTGCAACATTTTGGCTTTCCCTAGCCATAGCTATCAGCAACACAACAGCTGCTCATTTTACAATGACTTGCTGGAGAGAGAATGATTGAAAGAGCCAATCTATGTCACATGGAGAAGCTGTGGCACAACATCGCAGGAGGTAATAGGAGAGGAATGAGGTCAGAACAAACAAGGGTAGGGTGAGAACGGAGAGGAAAATAGCAGTGAATAAAATTATTAAAGGCAAGACGCTGTACCACACAATCATGTTTAAAAACGGCCACAACCTGAACGCTGCAAACAGCCACAGAAATGCAAACAAGCTCTGTATTACTTTTTCATAGGTTCTCATGAATATGGCTGATGAAAAAAGCTACCAAAGTCCTAGTAATGAAGCACAATGGTGGGAACACACTTAGGTGAAAGCACAGTCTAATTCATACGGCTTGAAAGCCCCAGCACCCGGCAGCGTCCCACTAGTCGCAGGGTTTTAAATAGCAGCCTTGCTCGTGTCATTTTGTAGCTCGAGAAACACAGCAGCAACAGCAGCCCCAGCAGCAACAGCAGCAATGCTACCGCAGCTGCCCGGCTCCCCTCCGGAGAGCGCTGCATTAGCTCACACCTGGGAGTTCACCTTTAGCAAAAGAGCTGCAGAGACCAGGAGCTCGCCCACGCCAGGGAAACAGCGGCGGGCGATTTTGATTTAGCACCATTCATAAAAATCCTTCCTGAGGAAGAGCTGCTTTTGTGTTACCGCAGCAGACCAGAAAACCACCGTGCAAAATGGTGGCACGGTTTGTAAGAAGAGGCAATACATTTCACTAGGCCACTCACAAAAATGAGCTTTTGGGCTCAGCTGGAGCAATGAAGCAACTCTGACCCTGACCTTTGGGCCCACACCCCTTCTATTTTTACCCCACAGGGATCAATTGGTTTCATAAAAGGTATTACTTTCGCCTACACCCTGTCCTGTTCCCATCCTTATCTCTCACGGCTACAATAACGCTATTTTCAACGTCACACCGTGCTTTCCCTATTCAGCAAGCAGGCTGCTAAAATGCCAATCCATTTACTTGCCTGAATCTGACTGTGGGAAAATTTTACCCTTCCAGCTAGGTGGACTATCTGGCTTCACTCAACAACAGGGACGGGCTTCTGCGCCACGTACTGGGACACACGCCGCAAATACAAAGCTACCATACTGCACATACTGCAAATATTCCGCTCCTGCTGCTGTCCCTGCTGTTCCTGCCCCACCTGAGCATGTGCTGCTGGTCCGAACGGCTGGAGAGGGAAGAAATAACTGCAGGGCACGCATGCAGCATCAGGGCTCGACACGCTCAGGCCACATTTAGTATGCAACATTCCTGTGTGCAGAGCTTACTCCCCTTTGCTTATCTAGTTTAACCTCTGTATAAAAACAGGCACATACATTTTACACAGATACCTTTGTATTGAATACCGAAACACACGCTACTCACTGAATTTTAACCTGCATTTGGTTTACAGCACATCTAATGAAAAGGCATCACTGCTTTTGTTTCTTTTAACTGAGCTCCGTGTTGATTTTTTTCGTCTTGTCAGCAACTGATGTTATCCCTGGGGTAATGTCAGCACTCTCCTACTATCAGGAATTCCCCTAGCATTCAAAATGTCAGAAAATAATCAAAAACTTGAGTGTCAGAAAGAGAATAAACTCATCAGAAATACCAAATACTCACTGCTGCCTGACCCCCTGCAAGTAACATGCCAGATGGGTGGGGACAAGGTAAGAACAGGAATGAATGCATGCCTTTTTTCTCTTCTGGGTATCTTAACAGCTTTCCACAAATTTCTCAATGTACATGAATGACTGCATGTCATACTCTATGTGGCACAAGAGAGCAAGTGGCAAGCATGCCACTGGCATTTCAATTACTGCTGCTGGGGCTGGATTCCTAGTAACTTGTTGACCTTTGCAAATATTAAGAAATATCTCATACAATATTCTGTACTCATGTCCAAAATTATATTATCACAGTACAGGGTTGGAAAACCTCTGCCTCATCCTGTGGGTCTGAAACCACCGAACAAGTCCAAGAGCCAAAATCAACAAAAATACACAGTAAAACCAAAAAAGGGACCCTGTAAATAATAAAGAGAAATATGTGACAGATAGATGACACGCGAACCAAATACAAAAATTACGATCAAGCATTCGCTTTGGTCAATGATAAAGACATTTATCAAACACATATGTGGAGTCAAGTTCAGAATTTTAAAGAACTCTGAGGGCTTGGCAGCTGAAGTTTACATGGAATTTACCCCTGCTTTAAGTACGCATTTTTTGCAGAAAAAGGCCCTGAAAATGCAGGAATCTCAGAAAAGGAATGAATTTGGAATACAGGAGTATTCATCTATTTAATAAACCTGTCCATCGGTTTAATTCTTTTTGTTGGAACAAACTTACCTGGAATACTCGCTGGAGAAATGGGACCAGATCTTGACTGGTTGCTTCCAACAGGAGAGCCTACAGGGGAAGGCGATGGGCCCCCGGGGATGCCAGAGAGATGTGGAGAAGCATGAGGGGAGAACGGAGACTGTGCAGGGTTGCTCTGCTCCCCTTGGCTGCTTGTAGAGCCTGACGCGCTAACGGCTGAGCTCAGGGTTGCTTCGGTTCCAGTCGGCAAGTCGTCAATGGATCCAGATAAATCCTGAGGAAAAAGGAAAAAAGAATGTAAGTAATCGTATGAATGAATCCTCAGGCCACAGGACTAGAGAGCTAGCATGGCGATGAGGGCCATTTGTTTACTTATTGCAGCAGATAACTGAGAGGTTGTCTTTAACGTTGGTTCATGTAGTTAAACGATGGCAGAAAACGAGGATAGTATGTACAATTCTCCGCTTAATCTCTAATTCTTTCGAGAAAAAGAACAAGCAAGGGCAACAAATGAATTGGAACCAAATTCACTCAACATTGAATTTAACCTTTTCCATCTGGATTAAGCTTTCAAAATTAATCCCACAAATTCTGCCTGAGCATACTAAAACTAATGAAAATGATACATCAGTTTCACTTTCACACAGTATTTCATTTTAGGGTTTGCTACCACTACAATCACAGCTTATACACTTCAGTCTTTAAACCATCACCAAAACGAGAGAAGAAGGGTGTAAAGTACGCAGCCCTTTGAACACTTGCATGCAGCTCCTTCACCTTGCAGAAGAGACGCAAGAAGAGGCCCTGCCCTCAGCAGCAGCACAGGACCCGCTCGCCACCTAGGAGCAAGGAGGGCTGCTTCTCTGTTTCCATCAAACACCAGCGTACAACTCACAGTTTCTCTTCAATTCCATATGAATACATTGCTAAACAGTTGTTCCATTTCAATTCATAACTGCTGCATTTTCAATGAGACATTTCCTCCGTAGATCAAAGCACATCTGAATTCTAACTATGAATTGCTGGGCATATTCCCTGAAGCTGTTAACACCGGAGTTATACTGGTCTTTGGACCTGTGGGAGTAATTTGGTTTTTTGAATCATTGTAAAATCAGATATGAAAAACCAAGAATGCTGTGACAAAGCAAGTGCACACCCCTTAACTGTCAAGAAAAACGTTAATTCTTAAACATCACAGAAAAATCTCATACAAACTGAAAAGCACAGAGACAGCTGTGCTTCCATGACTATTGGTAAGGCCCAAGTTAAGGAGCACGTTACTATTTCTATCAGCGAATTAAGGCGCAAATAAGAGGCAGGGGGCTACCTCACATATAGAACAGGTCATTAAATGACCTTTGAGGCTTCCAATAACTGGGATGGCAGAGTGTGTTACTTTGGCTGATACTGACTTTGCTTGTCTGGCTCAGGCAAGCGGTTGCACCGTAGAGAAGGGGGCCTGTCGTCTGAGTAGCACAAAAAGAACTGGGCTCTGCCTGAGCAAAGAGCTCAGGAAGCAAAGCCTTACTGCTGCCTAATTTTCATAACAAAAAACGAAGTTATTTTTAGAAGTTACAGAACTTGGACAAAACGCAAACTGGTGTATTTGGAATAAGAGTCCTGCCCAATGCTGACCACCTCTGTTACGAGGGAGGCTCACTGCCCGTCTCCCCTAACAGACAGATACAGTCAGCCTTCCAAGGCATGCAAAACGTAGGATTAACAGTTTAAACACCAACAACATTCATTAGAAGTCACCTAGAATGCTACGTGTTATTCCTCCTCGTGCATAAAGGTACTAAACACAACCCACCCGACTTAGCTCTCTGCAGGACACCTCACAGACCTTATTTCCAACGAATTTCCACAAATATTTCAAGCACAACTATCACCACAGGTTAATTTTGCTTTTTCTGACAAGCACAAAATTGTACGTGTATTTCATTAGGCATATGAAAAGCAAAAATTAAGTCTGAAACGTCAGCCTCTGTGTGCACTCTGCATTCGCTCAAGAGTAGACTTCCAAATCCCTACAAATGGGAATTTAATTGTGCAATGGGCAATAAACTATTTTCATTGTTTCTTTTTCGAAACTATTAACTGTAGAAAATGTAAACAAGAAGTAACACTGCTTGATACTGTATAGAGCAACGCTAGAGATTTTTCACAGTAGAATGTATTTGGCAAACAGGTAAGCAATTACTGCTTTTCCATATGTAATATGGTATTCTTCTAAATGGAATCAAATCGCTGCTGTCGTGATGTGTAACAAATGCTTCAGGAAATGCTGATAAAACAAATGCTGCTGAAAAGCATATAATAAACCCCTGAAAACCAAATGTAGCAGAATAGAAGCCTATTCTAAAGGAATACAAGTTCTGCGTAAAAAACAGATAGGCACCCAACTGATAGAAGATATAGAAAGCACAGGGTTTTACATTGAGAAGAGCAAAGACTTTAAAAGGGTGTGCGGATTACAGCTTTCATTTGTTTCGGCAAGCCACGAAGTACTTGAAAAACAAACACTCCAAAATAACGAAAAGCCATGAAGCAGTTCGCACTGTCTGTGATGAAATTATCTGCTGTTCAGAGACCACGGCAAAACCTGACCGCTCCCCACAGCACCTCCCCAGCTTGCCGAGCGTGCGCGTGGGGAAGAACTCGGGGACAGGAATGAAGTTCACTTTTCCCACCGGGTCGCATCTGACTTCTCCAGCCTCCCGTGCGGGTGGAGTGACCGATGAGTCCCAGGCAGTTTCCTCAAGTGCCTGCCTTCCAGGGATTTCCTCACCAACCTGATGCAACTCCTTCACAAAAGCGGAAAAGAAAGAGGAAAGCTCGCGTGATGCCAGTCTGTTTAAAGAGGGAAGCCACACCACCCTCCCCCAGTAGATGCGGAGGGAGCGGCCGGGTGGGCTCGGCGCAGCCGCCGTGCCTTGCGCTCCCCACGTGCGCGCAGCGTGAGCACCGGGGTTTCCTCCCCGGGCTGGGGAGCTTCGCAATCAACTCATCTGCCGAGGATAGCAGGGTAGCATTCATTCGTTAGACCCATCAAGAAAGCTGACAGCGAGGTTGCTCTCAGGACGGCACAAAAGGCTGTTACCTATCTTGATGCCTGGGCTGTGCTACACAACCTTTACCTCGTGCTACAGCGGACTAAACTGAGAAATACCAGCCGTTCTGCGCAGGGTGGTTTTGCAGATCGTTACTTTGCATATTTTGTTAACGTACACTTCCTGGCCTTACCTAGTCTTCTAAGGCAGAAAGCCTGAGTAGGCGAGCAACTGGGAAACTTCCACCATACAAAGGCTTTAGAAACACCTCTGTTATCCACAAAAGCTAATTGGGAAATTAAAGAGAAAGAGAAGAGAGACTTTATGTGAAGCACCCGGACAGAAAGAGCAGAAGTCGACTTACTGTTCTCCTATTATCAGTATTTTAATGCTTGCTTTTACCTTGGTTTAACAGAACAGTAACGAAGCCATGTGCAATTTCCACATCACAGACATTCATTTATATATACAATACTGCACATGTACACATTATATACGCAAATTACATGGATATACTTGCATTTACTTAGCATATCCATATGTAAAGCTATTAAAAAGCCTACTAATAAGAGAAATTCACAGTGGTTTAAGCATACAGCCTAGTTAACAAAGAAGCTCTGTAACTAATACTCCTCTAGAGGACAATTTAGTCAGCAGGGCACCAACTCTATTCTTCTTTTATAAGTACTATCAGATCTATGATGCCTGTAAAGAACAGAGAGACCTTACTTACTGCATCTCATTCAAACCAAGGCACCTTCAAGCTACAGTGCTTCCATTTATCTTGTTGGAAAGTTGGCAGGTTAGGTAATTGCTGGGATTCTTTTAAGGGGCTCAAGTCCCCATACCCTAAGGCATGCCTTAAATTTTGCCTCTTTTCAGAGGCTTTTTCTGGAAAGCACTCGTTTCTTCCAGTAAAATGTAGCAAGTCTAGAATTACCAGAGATCTCTTGTTTCTTGTAGAGTAATCTTATTATTCTTGTCTATGGTACTGGTATGACTAGATTTACAAATGTGGCACCAAATCTAAGAAAAAATGAAGGACAAAATATTTTTTTCCCCTGTCACAAATCCATATTACAGTTCTGTATTTTCTATGTCACCTTTACATCCTGTATTATTCAGGACATCCCAGCCAGCTTTCAAAGTTTATTTCTAGATAATACCTTGATCACAAACTGAAATGCCCCTGCGCAGGATTTCTCTCTTTTAGCAACGTGTTTTTTCTCTGACTATCTTCACTTCTAGCCTCACCTTCCACCCATGCACAACCTTTATGCTTGTCCCTCTGACAAGTACAAGAGCTAAAATGAACAGGATCACATTGTGCTTGGGATTATAATGTTATGCCTTCCTGGTGGTACGATCTTATCAGACTGACAGGAGAGACACTCTTGAAACAGCACACCAATTTACTATTGCAATGCGGCCAGCAAGGGGTAGAAGGAAGCAAACTGCTTATATAGAGCCAGGAAACCCAAAGTTACTTACAAAGAGAGCACGAGAAAACAAAATAGGAACACCCATATATAATAATAATGTTAACTTACTCAAGGAATACACCTAGATCCAATAAACAGCAAAAAGGAGACTACAGTAACTCGGTAATACCACCACAATTTTACACATGGAGTGTGACAGGATTAGAGCATTCACCATGGAGCAAAAATTTACACTGCAAACACTTCATGCAGTTGCCAGTTTTGCTCAAGAGTGTCTCAGCAGACATAAACCAAGATTTTACTAAAGGGAACCCTTGCTAAATACCTACAGTTGAAAAATGATGAACACTTTCTCTGAAATCAGTAAAAAGGGAAAGTGTGGAGCACCTTGCTAACTGAGCTCCTATGCCGCTAAATTGCACCTGAAGTTCACTGACAGGTTACTGGAGTTTGGGGCTCTCTTGCAGGGACTGTGCAGAGCATACACAACCTGGCATTAATTTAAACCTCCCAACTATTGCCTATCGGTTCCTTTATGCTCAGGGAGTAGAAGAAAAGCAGAGGTATTCTGTAGATATTAAAGACATGCAAAACCTGAAGCTGAAAAGCCCAGACTCTACCCTGCCATCCGTTCTGCTAGCACGAATCCCAGCACTACGCGTAGGGAACTGCAGCAACCAACTGGCAGCAGGATCAAAGTCCTGCTCACTCCATTCAGGCCTTCCTGCAGTATTTTTATTAGGATGGAGGACAGTGCTGCTCAAAAGACAGGATCCTGC